GATTCCAATAGGATTCCAATAGGATTCCAATAGGATTCCAATAGGATATCAATAGGATTTCAATAGTAGGCTGCCACCTAAAGGAAGCCCCACGTGAGCAGACGCATGCAAAGCAACAGACTGATGCAACACTGGATTCATTATTCCCTCTTCTTTACGCACATAGAGAGCTTTTTTTTTGGGGGGGGGGGGGGGGTTATTTTGGTTTGCAGTTTTCATGAGGGCCACTGGGGGGGTAAAATCGGCCTTTCGGACCTTGCCCCTGAGCTGATGTCACTCCGAGATTAAACACCTTTGACCTCCATGCGCTGTCAACAGTAAGCAGCTCACCGAGACGCCAGTGCGACTAAATCCACCAGCAGAGACCGGTTTGTCACGTGACGTGCCGTGCAACCCCTTGCCTGCCTTGCTTGTGTGTGCGTGCGCGTGCGCGCGTTTGGCTTTTTTTTTTATTTATTTCCGCGTTCTCCGGAGCAGAGCAGAGAGCTGGACCGGGTCGTGTCTTTGCGCGGCCGTTGCGCTCCGACTGACCTGTCCGCGTCTCCGCGCGCGCGCGTGGGGGGGGGACGACCATGCTCACGCGGGTGAAGTCGGCCGTGGCCAGTTTCATGGGAGGCGTGATGGCCGGCGGCTCCGGCGGGGAGCATCCAGGGGCCGGAGGGGGGTACGGAGGTTCGGATCTACCGCTCCGGTTCCCCTACAGCCGGCCCCAGTTCCTGGGTCTGTCCCCGGACGAGATCGAGTGCTCCGCGGACCACGTCGCCAGGCCGATCCTCATCCTCAAGGAGACCAAGCGGCTGCCGTGGGCCACCGGCTATGCGGAGTGAGTGAGTCCCATCTTTTTCCCAGGGAAGCAGCAGCATCCTCTGGAAAAAAAGGGAGCGCGCGTCCTTTTCTGGATAGGCGTAAAAAACACGCATCCGCGCATATATTCAGCCCTCTTTTTTGTTTTGGTTGTGTCGTCGTGGCCTGGGTAGGATGCATTTAAGACTTCGAGGTGAAAACGCAGCAGCCTGCGTTTCACCGTCCACCATCAGCATCATGCAACAAAAACCAAAGACAGGGTTTTTTATTTAGACCTAACTACAGATGGATAGGAACTGTTCGCCAAAAGCCATAATGACGTCTCTTTTTCCCCCACTAAATGGCTAATATAAGAATCAGAATCAGAAATACTTTAATAATCCCAGAGGGAAATTATTTTGTTACCAACTCCAGAAATACAACAGCATATACATATGTAGATGTCTATACATATATATGTATATACAAAATAGATATAATATTGACAATAATGATAATAATATCAGTGCATATTGAGTAACACCACCTCAAATTTAATTGAATTTGTATTGAATATACTGTCATTCTACAACCCTTGGCTATTTTTGTAGTGGAAATAGGGGGGAAATAATAATAATAGTTAAAGATTGATTTTTAAAAAGTAGTTTTGACCCAACAGTATTTCATTGAAACAGCTGAAAATAATATTTGTTAAAATACAGCTTTTTTCTTCTGGCAAAGAGTTGAAGCTGTTGTGCGTGAGTCTGGTGGAGAGGCGGGCTGCTCAGCAGCCATCTGTTGGTGCATCCAGACTCAGAGAAAGGGAACTGACCACTAAAGGAGTCCGGCTCTCTGCTGGAGGCTTCCCTGGAGCCCACGGTTTCTGAGAGTAAAAGAGAGGTGCGGTGTTCAGTCAGAGGTTACCTCAGCTCGCAAACAAGCCATACTGGGAGGGGTTTTTCCCTTCCCAGGATGGCTTTTTGGGATAAATAATAGATTATCCAGCCATCCACAGTACATGGATACCTACATTTATCTAAGTCTGACCATTCCTCATGTCCTGATTATGTTTAGCCCTTTCTTTTCGTTTGAATACGATTTCGTTTGGCCTGTTTCTAAGAGTCCAGTTGCAAACACTCACACCTGTTTCTGCCTTTTCTCGTATCTTTTTGAAAAACCTTTTGCACAACCTGTTTTAAAGGCATCTTGCTTTGAGTTTTCTGTCCTGAAAACCTCCGCTATAACTTTTCCGGTTTATTTACACTTCAGGTTTTGGACAAAACTGATCAGTAACTTAAATCTTTAATCCGGCCATGTGCTGAAATCCCTTTTTGAAATAGCTTTATAGTTCTTCCTCTGACAGCTCTCCTGCTGGCACCGAGCATTTGAGTAAATCACTTATCATCTCCGTACTTGGACTTGGGCATCCATTTTTCTTTAGAAATGCAAATGAGAAGACATTTCCATACCTTTTCTCCAACTAATTTAATTCATATATTGATATAGTTATTGATTATTTATTTGCTAATCCGTGGTCTAAATGTTCCTTTGATGAATGGAAAAGACTGTAAATAAAGCAGCATATTGAGCATCTGCCATGAAATTCAATTCCATAATTTCAGCTACATACGATGAGAACTGTGAGTGAAGCTCTTTTAACTATTTCCCAGCATTCTTTATTTTTCTTTGGCTCTTTAACCGTGCCTTGCCTCAGACCTCGTCGTCTTCCTGCCGCTAAATAACTGATGGATCACATCCTGACCCAGGATCATCTGCCGTGCCGTTGATGTCACATCCTGGCTCACAGAATCCATTTAGCTCCCTGCATCTTTCCATCACGGCTGCAGTAAACCGGTTTGGTTATACTTTAAAAGGCACTTATTATAGGCGGCATTCGGTACGGCCGCTGGAGTCATGAAAGGCTGCGTTTGTTGGCCGGTTTGTGTGCGGATGTCAGCAGATGAGGGAGCAGAGTTTTTGCTTTAACGGCATGCTGCTGACTGAACTACAAATATTACAGAAAAAATGGATGTTTCCATTTACTTTTGAGCGACTGAAATGCGAAGCTATCGCTATTCCCGTCCGCTGCCTGTGAGATCTGAGTCAGAACTCTGTGGACTCTTCATAAGACTGTGGACCATGGAGGTGACAGCTCAGTTCAGTTCCATGTACTCAAACCTTACTATGCTCCTAATGTGTTCTTCCCTTTGCCTGAACTAAAAATATCTACTCGGTGTTAGTTATGTAATTTGCCGTGTATTTTCCTTCCAATGATTTGCTCCCACACTGATGTTGGATATATTGCTCATTGTGCAAAAACCGTCTGTGACAGTTCTCTCCAGTCAGCAATATCTGTCTTCTCACGCATAAAGACAGCAGAAAAAAGAAGAAGTGGCCTGGAGTGAGCATGCATCTGCACAATCCGCACTTCTGACTTCTTTTTCTGTCTTTTTAAGGCCCGAAATGTCCGACAAAAGCGGGATAGGACCGGCCCAGTTTCTGCGGTCATAAGGTCACTCCTCAGACTAACTGTTGTTTTTCTATCTGAGCTGACAGAGGAGGATCCGTATCATCGTCTTTCAGGAGTTGACACCGGGGGGAAATTTGATCATTCTGCTTGCACTGCTTAAAATAATGGCCTGTTTCTTTCCCGCCGGTTGGTTGTCAAACTGACAGATTCAGTTCAAAAAGGAAGATACTTGGCATTTCCTGCCCATGTAGGGGCAGAGGTCTTTCTAGGCCTCTTCTTGCTAATCCACCGTGAAAAATTGTTCATCTGAAGGCAGGATGATCGTTTTTCATCTCCTTTTCAGAATCCAGAAACCCCTGAAACAGACAGAAAACGGGGTTACATACATTGAGTGTTTCTGTATTGATTTGATATGTTGGTCCCCAAAAGCTTGCTGCTCGTCCCCGGATGAGGATCTCTTGTCAGTGTGAGAACTCATTTGGTGGACAGAAGTGCTTTTTAGAGAGAAAGGGCTTAGTTGCAGGGTTAGAAGTAGCTTACGGTTGCGGTTTGGGCAAGTGAAAGGCCCAAGGTAATTAAACTGAGTCAGTGTAGTGTTGCTGCAGAGTAGAGTGGGGAAAAAAGCAGTGCATGTTTTAGACTTCTGTCCCATCAGCCATACTGTGGAAATCTGAGTTTGCACGGGGGCAGAAAGCAACTTCAAGCAAAGCTATTTTACGTTTGGAACACGTGTTGAGGTTTGCATAAAGCAAGATTGGTGTAAGTCTTCATGAAATTGATATAAGTCATAGTGGTGACCTCTGAGGTCACTGCAGTTCATACGTGTGTGTGTGTGTGTGTGTGTGTGTGTGTGTGTGTGTGGGTGTCAGTGTGGCTCAGGATAAGCAAAGACTCAGCCCCTTCTGGGGATTTGGCAAACAACTGTCTCAAAAGCTGGAGTTGTTCTTGCGAAATATGGTGATATGGCTTCAGATATTTTGTATGTGTAGATATTTTTAAAGAAAAATCAACAGAATATTATTAGAAAAATAAAAACAATGCACCAATTTTCAGGGCGTTTGATCACGAATGGCGAGTCGCGAGCCAGGATTTCCTCCCTGACGCTTCCTGTCCATCAGCTGGCCTCTGTGAGAGGTCATCCTGAGTTATTCTGACGCTGCAGGGTGAGCGTTTGCGCTTATTAAGGCCTGCGATGCACTAATTCAGAGTGGGGGTGCTCTCTGCTCCGGTGGGGACGATCGTTCGGAATTGATCGGCGCTTGATTGCTCGCTCCGGTTTGAGCCGTTCCCTACGCGCCTCGGTTAGCAAACAGCGCTCCAGCTCTCCTCCGGAGGGGCTTCCAACTCCCAATAACACTTACTGACAAAGCACTAAGATTCGCCTCATGCAGATGATTTTCGTGCCTGATTGCAAAAATCTGAGATTTCAAGGAATTTGCGACAGTTTTTCCACTGCAAGCTTTCTACCCTATTTATTCCAAATGACCATTTTTATAACAGTGACAGGAGGAGGCAAAACGATCCATTTGATGAGCCCTGTGAAGGAGGATGTGTTAGCACGGGACACTGAATTGAAGGTAGTTGTACAAACGGAAAGAGACCGGGATCAATCTGCTATTGACTGCTGGATCAGCCAATGGGAGGCTCCGGTGGTGTGGAGTGAATAAGCTAGATACTGAGTATGTGGGTCAAACGTCTCATTGACTCAGATTAACTTTTAAAAAGCAGACACCTCCTCTCTGTGGTGACTTTTTACCCCGGTGCAAGATAGACCAGCACCGGTTTCTGAGGTTTGACCACAAGCTCACGCTTCTATCGACACCTGCAGACAGAAATGGCATCACGGCCTATTAGATCCACTTCGTCTGTGTCAGATATCCTCCAATAAAGACGGGGCCCCTCTCCTCTACATTCCCCCCCGTCCCAACATCTTTATTTTTTTTAGCAGAGTCGTAGATCTAGATCTAAATGGGAAAAGGTCAGCTTCTCCAAAGCCTCTTCACCCCTTCGTTCATTCTGTTTCTCACTGACCCAGACCCGTAAACGGGCCGACTCAGCAGCAGTCCGATCGATGCTCGATCCATACCACAGCACAGTGTTGTGTCTGCGCTGATAAAGAGAAGTGTCTTTTTACAAGTTTCAAAGTCAAGAGGATTTGAATACATTAAAGCGTCCCGTAAAAATATGTCTGACTGGGCAGTCCAGTCGCCTTGGACCTCTTTTTCTGCGTGTTATCGCGTGTATTTCTCTTTATTTTCGTATTGTGAAGAGGTCTCTTGCAGTTAATGTCATGCTCGGCTGCAGAGGGGGAGACACACGAGCCGTGGCTCTTACAAAGCTGCCCAGTGCTCAGTCACATGATAGGGCGCATGTTCCTGCGCCGTTTCGCCGGCGTGAGCCCAGCTATGTGAGGGAAAAAAAACGACAACAACAGAGTAATCCTTTTTTAAATTCAACACCAGCTCTCCTTAATCTGCACATCCCCGTATGTGTCCGATGCTTTCACGTGATAATCCTGTTAGCTAAGAGCGAATATGATTAATGCTGATTAGAATCTGGCTTTAGAAAAGAATAAAAAAATCAAGAGAAGGTGCCTGGCTGAACGTACATGAGTCATTTTGCGAAAAGAAACCATTTTAAGTAAGTAATCCTCTAAAAAAAGGCAATAAAATGTGGAGGAGCAAACACACACAACAGCCAGAGTGTGATCATTTCTTTTCAAATGTGTTCCGGGAAAATAATTAAAGGACTTGAAGTGGATTTTGATTAGATATACAGTTAAATAATCAAAGGGGTACGACTGTTCCAAAGCCATTAAGAGTGGTACAGTTTCAATAGCTAACCCCAAAAGCTATAATTATCTGAGCTCATAGCATCTAGGTCATTTCCTTTTTTTTAAATTTGTATTATTCCCCACAACTTGGCATTCGTATATCCTTTTGGTTACGCAACACAGGGGCAGCAAAGATTGATACGGTGCTCGGTCTAGCCATAGCCCATCCAGTTAGCTTGTTGGATTGTTTTGCTACCTGACTCTTATCAGTCGCTCTGTTCGGTTTACAAAGCCTGCTGTTTGCATAACGTCAAATAAAGCCTTTGCATGTTCCCCACAGCAACAAATACACAACCCACAGTGGAAAACGTACATTCAGTCTCCCACAACAAGGAAACATTGCACGTTTTGATTGATAAATTCCATAGAATGATTCATTTGGGGTTTTTTTTTTTGTGGCACAGCTCTAAATCTCTAAATATTAATTCCTCGATACAAGTGAAAGCGGGTCAGATGCCTTGTCGGCCTCTTCTAACGGCTTTGGAGAAAAAAAACAAGCCCTCAGATTCAGTCAGACTGAAACTCTAAGGAGAGGTAAAGAGCTCCGGCAAAAATAATGAAGCTTCCACCCACGTCCCGAATGTGAAGACGGAGGGTAAGTGGATATGACAGTCCGGCCACAGTTCATGCCTCTGGTGATATCGCCCCCCTCTTAACTTCGCAGAGCAGAGATGAAAGGCCTGAGAGCTCAGCTATTGCTAATCTTGTGATCTTCCTGGGGTCAAACGGACATCCCTTCCCGCAGTGCTTTCTCACACGCTCCCATGGACATGTAGGCCTAAAGGAATATCCTGCCGGTTAAGTCTGAAGTTCTTCTTTGTATTTCTTATGACTTTATGCGTCGTCTCGCAGTTTTAGGATTGTCATGGTGGCCACACCTGCTATAAATTCAGGTTTATTGTATTGTCAAAAGAAAAATCAAACGAAGCAAAGCGGGAGTCTGTGATTTGGCATGGGTATTGATTAAAAATAATAACAAATACAAATTCCAGGACGTTCTCAGATGTCTGTTGCTTGACTTTTAACCTTCATAAACCCACAGTGGCAATATCATCCTCTGAGATTTTGAAAATGGGATATTTTAAATGTTCTCATGGAAAATAGTGGTTTTTAAATTAAAAAGTTTGTCTTTGAATGTTCGATTTAAACTTTATGTGACAGCCTGTGCAGCTACAGCAGCAGCAGGTGAAATGTCTTTTATTCTGGAAAGTGCCACTGTGGTTTGGCCTCAGGATTTCTTCTTAAAGTGACCAAAAACAAATCGAGCAGCATTGCTTCTTCTTTTTGTACAGTTAGCAGTTATTTCAGGCCTTGCTTTTCTAGGCCTGATAGTATGAACCCCTTAACATATACACTCCAAAAATGGATGGATTATTTTATTTTATTTTTTTCATTTGTTTCGAGCAAGAACAACCAGAATCAATGTTTTTTTCACAAATGGTTGGATCAACATTTTATGGTAAAAGTGTGAAATTTTGAATAAGAAATGTCATAACTCATGCTTGATTTATGCATCATCAACTTAATTTTTTAGAGCTTGTTTAGGCTACAATATCCTTTGAGTATAAACAGTGAAAAATGGCTCAGCAGGATGTTAAAAGGTTACAAAGAGATGCATGCATGTGCTATACTTAGTTTGAAAGAGTTGACGCTGCTAACTCATTCAGGCCAAACCACAACTAGTTTATGGTGCACCGTATGAAATTTCTGATCTGGGTTCACTGTCCCAGATCGTACTGGATCACGTTAATTTCTCAGTTTTTACAAACTCCTCTGAATTACTCTTACGCAATAGAGCACCGTGCAGCACTAAACCTTTTTTTTGGACCACTTGACGACAAGAGGGGAATCATTCACTGTAAAAAAATAAGCAAAACAAAAAAACAATGGATGCTTCAAATTTGGCATTTACCTGAGTTCAGGTCCAAAATGGTGGCAGCCCATGCTCACAGGGCCAGGCTGCCCAGGCGCCATGTTTAGGAACTACCAAGGAACGTATCATGAGAACAGGAGTGGGGTGGGAGTGTTCGTCCAGCTTAAAGAAACTTGACTTGCTTCCGTTTTGTTTTTTGTTGGTCAGATTTAAATGTTTAATAGCATATGAAAAAGTCTGGTTTGGGATAAACTTAGTGACACTAACACTAACTAAGACTAACTAACAGTTTGTGAAGTGTTTTAATTTTTTGAAAAATGAATTGGATAGATGAGTGGCTGAAACTTGACACATTTTATACAGCGTGCTTTTCGAATAGGGAAGTAGTCTATTTGTTTTTGATTATCAGCAGTTTAAAGATTTTTTTCCCTGAGTGGGTTGGTTCGATAAATGTACCATTTTATGTCAAACGTCGATTTGTGAGCTGGAGAGCAAGAATTCTAGATTGTAGAAGATTGTTTGCATTCAATTTGTTCATGCTTAAGCTATCATAAGCACCTCTCTTATGTACATGTTGCCTCAAATTGGGATTTCCCTCATATCTCCTATTTGTAACATTGAAACTGACTATCATTCTACAATATTAATTGTTAATTTTGGCGTCTCTCTGTGACAATATTGAAAATAAACAGGGAAATAAGTGGAATTCAGATATTCCTTCGTAATGTTTTGCTTCTGTTTGACACTCTTTTGCACACATTTGATAAGTTCAGCTCCGTTTCAGAGCTCCTCGAGCGCGTTCCCGGCAGCGGTGCGCCATCTGCCAGGTGTTGTGTAACGCACTATTTGTGTGCCTTTCTGTCCTCCGCCTCACATTGTCGTGGAATCAGGGTTTGTTTACTTACACAGCCTTTTCTGCACAGTGTTTCGTATTGTTTATGGAAAGAAAAAAGGGAAAAAACTGACGAAACATGACATGAGAATGAGTGTGTGACAGTGATCCAGCTATGGGGGGGTTTTATAGGCTAGTTATATTGTGTAGCACCATACACATTAACACTATTGAGGCCACTGATTTTCATTCCAGTTATTGCATCATTTGGCATGCCCCAGGCTTTTCTCTCTATTTTTCTCTTCTTAAGAATGACCCTTTGACAGCCAACCTTCCACGGAAGGCCAATTCCGATTCAGACAAACAGAGAGTCCAAATGCGTCTCTCGGGTCCTGGGTCAGGAGTTTGCTGGATTCTTATCTATGGACGTCACTTTCAGATACTGTTCCATGTTTTTTTTTTTTTCTCAGAATTTCCCCTCCAGGACGTTTTTACATGCCAAGTTGAGATGTGACAAATCATTGACTAATAGCTCTTTAGCACTAATTTCTGTTTTCCAGCTTCTGTCTTTGGATATTTTTTGAATGCTCAACAAAAAGAAAAAAAAAGAGATTGTAGCTGCTCTTTGGCTTTGCAAAAGTTGATGAGCAGCAGAGTATATTAAAATGGAGTACAAAAATTGACTGTTTTTGACATGTTATTGCCATGTGTAAAGCCTGGGCGGGTTAATTTGAGACTTAATGATTCAAAGGGGCTTAACAAATAAAAACTTTAGCAGTGTGAGGGAGGCCGTGTATGTGTCATGCTCGTGGTACCCAGCCTGTTATCCGACATTTTAAAAATGGCAGACATAGAGAAAACATCATGTCTGATGACGATACACTTCTGGATATCTATCCTTTTTAAATCAATTCTCCATACTGCTTATTCCTAGTAGGGTCACAGGGGGGCAGAGCCTATCCCAGCTATTGATACAGTCAGAAAAACTGTAAAGTGTACTGTCCAATATCTAAGTTTTAATGTGCCTATTCGTCAGATTTCCTGTTAAACCTAAGCTCTGCAACAAATGCTCTCCTCTGTGTTCTGTTCCTCCCTCTCTTAAGGGTCATTAACGCTGGAAAGAGCGCGTTAAATGAAGACCAGGCCTGCTGTGAGGTGCTGGTGGTCAAGAGGAGGCCGTCGGGGAGCGCCACCCCCACTGACCGCAGGAGGTCTTCCCTGCCTAACGGAGAGGGCCTGAGCCTCAAAGACACCCCGGTGAGACGAACACAAGGGTTCCGTTAGCAGATGTGTGTTTTCTTTTGGCCGGATCCGCCTCCCACAGTTCACTCAGACAAAATCAAAGAAATCCGATACGAGCAGGGGTCGGATCGATTGGCCTTCCCTATTAGTTTCGTCATCGCTAAAGGTAATCGCACGTCCAGGCTAAATAATGGGGAGAGTGAATTTAGTCCTTAAATGTCTCCGGGGGCTTGTTTCTGGGCCTCGCTGTCCTCTCGCTACACTCCACAGTAGCTGTCAACAGCTCTCACATGCAAAAAGCCTTTAAAGTCAACCCTGTTTCTCATCAAAGAGGGAACTGTGCCATCAGGAATCCAGGAGTTACCGCCGGGTCTGACTTTATACGGCCAGCCTTTTTTGTCCTGCGGTTCCTCGGCGAAGGCTTATTTTCAAAAAGAAGAATTTTTCGTGGTAAAGTAATATCATCTAACATTCACAAACCCAGGCGACTACCCCCCTGACTCACTCCCCGCAGTGTTCATAGCCCAGTATGAGTAGCAGAGAACCTCTCTGCAGTTTGCCTCATGCACTCAGGCTGTAGAATCTGCCTGAGCCTAATTTAGAACATCAGCTTTAGCGTTTGCATAAACACTCTGAATGTGCCAGAAATGATCCGCGCTCAGTGGGGAGAAAGAATAGGAGCTCCTTGGCTAGATGCTACATGCGTTCTATCTGGGGCACGATTCCTGAAAACGGCGTCAAATTTGGATGCGACCACAGGCCATTTATGGATAGTGGATCAGAGTCCTGCCCCGCTTTGTGAGGACCGTGAACTCAAAAGGTTTGCGGTGAATGAGCCAGACGACGGGGTGCTTTGTTTAAACAATATGCGGGGAAGCCGCACCTTTGAGGATCAACAGGGAGAGGGAGAGCGTACCGGTTTGGGAACTGCAGCGTATTATGCTGGGTCTATTAAAAATCTGTAGATTGTAAGCACAGACAAATAGAGCAAACAGAAGCATCAAAGCAGACCCGGATCAACCCACTCACTGACTGCAGAGTTTCAGGTCACAGATCTGGCTGCTGCCGCCTCCTGTAGAAGCTTCTACTGCGTCCATGTGAGAGGAATCTGAATAGGAGGGATGATGCTGTTCCTGGACTATATCTAACGCTCGTCCAAGGGGGAAGCAGCCATGGAATAACACAGATTTAGCTCTTTTATAGTGATGTAGTCATCATCTTTGCTTTGCACTTTTGCAGAACAGAATCTAAACTGAGCACACGATAATCACAGTAGTGCACGGTGGACATTTTAGCAGGTCCTGAGAAGATGAAACAGACAAACAAACAAAGGAATAGAGAGCAGCACCCTACAGAACCACGTTGGTTTAGTTAACTGGCACCGATAGCGACATCCTATCCAGTTATGTCTGGAGCCATAGCCACAAACTGAATCTCTTCCTTTTCAAAGCTGGTTAATTATTGATTAATTAGTCATTTCTATACTCCCTGGGATTGTTAGTGTCTTGGGACCGCTTGATGAGTCCCAGCGCTTAAACACTTTACAGGGAAACAGCTGCTTTGTGCTTTCTAACATTTCAAACAAATTAATTTGGCCCATGACTTAAATTTGTTTAAAACTTTAAATGTACTTGAGGTTGGAATCCAAAAACAGTCTATAAAAGCTTTGAGAGACCAAAGCCTGGACTCAGTATAAGCACACACGAGTTCTTATTTGAAAATGTGGCAGTAATCCAATTCGGACAATAGATTAGAATTTCTGACCATAACACCTCATCCGTTCTTGAGTGAGATGATCGAGGGTGCGTATACTGACCTAAGTGCGTTCCTCTCTGCGTCCAGGACAGCTCTGAGGACCTGACCTTTCACTACTGGGCGCTGTTCGATGGCCACGCGGGGTCCGGGGCGGCGGTGGTGGCGTCCCGCCTCCTCCACCACCACATCGCCCTGCACCTTCAGGAGGTGACGGAGATCCTCTGCACGCCCAACCTGCTGCCCCCCACCCTCCTGGACGAAGAGCCGGTCAATCACCTCCTCACCGCCACGTCCAGCCGCGCCCTGACCCGGGCGGCGTCGCTCAGAGGGGCGGCGGGGGCCCCGGGGTCCCCCGGCACGCCGCCCGCGCGCTTCTTTGCCGAGAAGAAAGTCTCGCACGAGAGCCTGGTAATCGGGGCCATCGAGAATGCCTTCAAAGACATGGTAAGCGGCGTCCACTTCCCATAAAATCCACATCCGTCCATGTTGAAACAAAGCATCCGCCATTTTTATTTTTGGTTTGTTTGATAGGAATGACTTTGGAGGTGTTTTCCAACTAACTCGAATCAAATTTGTCACTCTCTTCTTTGGTTATATGTGTATACGGAGGTAGCGATGCGTTTACTGACAGGGAGTAAAAGTAGGGAAAAAAAGGAAAGGATTTTCTCAGTTTTCACTGAGAAAAGGAAAAAGAAAAAAAGTTTACAAAAAGACCAAAATGTAGTTGGGATGAGCAATACTCATTAATCGGAGTAGACAGAGATACATATGTAGTCCAAGTAGCTGCTATACCTTTCCAAATTTTAACCTTGCTGACACAAAATAACTGAACTTCCACAAAATACCACATTTACTACCTGGATCAGTCCGGCCACTTTTACCACGGTTGTTGATCATCTTGTTGAAATGTGCGTCTTGGCTGCCGGAGCTTATGTGATTATTACTTGACTTTTACTTTACTGCAGACTAAGAAGTGTTGACTTCCCCTTTAAACCCCGAAATGCAGCCTAACTGAGCTTTGCAGGCTTCTCTGTGCTGTTGCTACCGCATGATATCACACGCCAGTTCCTCCTTTGGTGGTCTGTCTATTTAGTTTTCTTCTGCCTTCTAGTTAATCATAATAAGCTACAAATGATTCTTATAGAGGAAAGGTAGAAGACCATTATCTACTCTGGTCTACTTTCCGGTGATGGAGAGGGGATGCGCCTTTAAAGGATCTGCTGCCAACATGTATTTGTGTGGTACCACAGAGGCCTCGATCAGAATTTGAGCTGGCAGACTCGGGCAGGAAATGGTTGTATTTGTACCTCTTTCAGAGCTATGCCGAAGCTTTACAGCGGTCATGTTAAAGCACATTTTCTTACCTGTCTTTGTCTCCATCCACTTTTTAGCTGTAAAAAACCTTTCAGATTAGTAGTGAACGCAGGTCAATGCGAGGAAAATTAAACACAGCATTGTATCTCTAATTTGGGTTTTGTTGGCGTCTGAAATAAACAAATTGTCAAATAGATTTACTATCTGGTTCACCTTTTTATCTTTGCTTTCCCATTGCTCTGTGCCTCTGGAAACAAGTTCAAACAAACGCTCTTAATGCACCTCCTCCGTGCTTTGCTCCATCAAATAATCTTTACAAAGCGTGCGCTGCCTGGGAGGCTGTGGCTCCATGGAGGCCAGAGTGGATCAGTAGCCTTCTTTAAAATCAAAATGCGGTCAATGGTTCTGTGCTTCTGCCTCTAAACCACTAGGTGACAGTGTGGATCTAGCTTTTGTCCAGCAGGAACCCTGTAAAAACAATGGTTGTGATTTGGCGAACGGCGTCCTATTTTTAAGTTTATATTTGTAAGTAAAACGAGCTGCGTGAGGATGATTTTATCATTGGATGAATCTAATGAATTCTGTTTGTGGAAAGTCACAAGGAGAGTATTTCATGATAACTCCCCCCCCTCCCCAATGGGAAGGGTGGGTTTGAAAGCCAAAGTGAAATGTGGGAAAATGGAATTTAAAAGCTATGCTCCAGTCTAAGTGGAATTTAAAAGCTATGCACCAGTCTACATTTTCAGCTCTGTGTATATTGCGTGACATCCAAATAGCTTTTTAGTTTGCATGGCCAGTCTTTTCCTGTTTCTGTCCTTCCGCGTTGACCTTTTCAGAAAGGACGAAACGACGAGCCACCATCAGCACGCCACACGCCACACCCTGAATCTGGTAGTAAAATAGTAAAAAAAAAAGCATTGTGGACTCATTTCGGATTCAGTGTTTCGTTAATTAGTGTCTGGCTGTGGTTTCTGGCGTTTGTATCTCATTACCGACACTAATTACTGTACTTTCTGTCCTCCACAGCTGTCATTCCTATTCATTTCTGTAATCGTTATTGTAAAATTAGTCATGGTTTGGTCCAAATAGCGCTTATTTCCGCCTGGAATAAAAACACTCCCGCTTTGTGCCTTTGCTGACAAATTACCCCAAGGTTATTTTGACACAACGGAACTCAATAAAGCCTCTCACCTTTTTTACATTTCTTTCTATCTTTATGCTTTTTTTCCTTTTGCTGATGCTTGTTATCTCAGAAAATGGGAAGTACCGGGGAATCTGTCACTGATCTGATATCCCTTTAGCTGTCTGCGGGTTCTCCCTCGGCCCGATAAGCGCTCCAAGAGGTGTAAATATCACGAGTAGTGTGTGGCTCAGAGACGCAGGCTTATCAGCTTAACATCCAGTTTAGCCACGACGGGGGTAAGAGGTCAGGAGGTCACCGGCCCAGCACGACCCCCTTCAGTAAGCACGCGTATTATGTCGTCTGCTGCCTTAGGCTAACACACTAATACTACGCTTTGGCATCCTAACAGTGATGTTTGGCCTAATGGTGAGAGATCATTTTGAATATTTTCTTACATGTAAGGCTCAGTGGGGGAAAAAAAGGAAGAAAAGTTAAACTGTGTAGCTTGACCGCTCTGTGTTTTATGTGTGAAGCCTCTGACAGAGGTTCTGAGTCCATTTTTGTGTAAAATTATCAAACTAATTTCTTGCTTTGATTTACATACTGAAAATGGCACATTTATTTTGGTAAAAATAGAGCTGCCCATTCGATTCCACTAGAAATAATTGTGCAAAAACCAATTTTTTTTCCTAAAACTTCTGTAACTGCATTACATGTTTTCACTTTTCCCCCCCTTAAAAACTACACTGCCACTCACCTAGGGAAATGTTTGCATCCATTTTAATGCCTCAGTTGGACTAAAATCAGATGTTTGAATTGCATGTGTACGTGGTTATCTGAAAGAAAAAAAAAAGGCAAATAAAATGGCTCCATATATATGCTGGACTAGTGCAGATTGAAACAGGCGACGGTGCTTATTTTTTCCTTTTTTTTCAATAAAATAAAATAGCATAATCTTTGGAAGCATCATTCAAGTAACGTAACGGCATAAAACCCAACTGATGACTAATTAAAGATTGCCTCACACAGAAAACGTTAAAAAGGGCAGAAACTTCTTAAAGTGGCTCCCTCACACGGTGTCAGAAATACTTTTGTTTTCAGTTCCCTGGAAATGCATTCTGGGACGGTGGTCTTGTCAGAGGGGCCGCGCCGAGCTGGAAGCAAAAGCCCGACTCAGCTGCGTTACCATGGCAACAATCGGCTCACTGTGGCAGAGCTTGTGCGCGTGAACGCGAGATGCCGCGTTATGGGCTCTCTCTACCGGAGGCGCGTTAGCCAATTTTCTGCAGCGCTTTAGCCCCGGAGCTCTGTCTGGCCATCAGAAACAACCGATATGTCACGGCTTTGGACTAATCAGGGACAGATGATGAATTCGGTTAATTACCTGCCACGCTGTACATCATCAGAGTTTTCCATCTTTATGTGACATTCGGTTCTGACTCTTTCTCTGTACTCGCAGTTATTACTTTTCCATTCCTGCTTTTAGCCCTAATGGCTTTTGGCTCTCTCTCTGACTCTGCGAATCGGCCGAGCAAACGGCACTGGGAAGGAGGCCCCAACTTGTTGTAAGCGGATTTGAACCTCCACACAGTCCTGTTGGTTATTAAGTCCATTAAATTGTCTATTAAATCACCTCTTATTGGTTTCGTACCATATAGAGAGCACACTGCAAAGGTTTTCGAACAAAGGCATTTCTTTATATTTAGCTTTCAAACGGCCGTTTCCTTATAATCTTTTAAAACTCCCTTGAGCAATACTTCTCCAGGCTTTCTGATGTGCGTTGTGAAACAAAATGGAAAATCTAGACAGGTGGAGGACTAAAGAAGAAGTGCCAGACCTTAAAAGAGGCATCTGAAGCAGATGAGCCGTCCTCTAAAGCGATGTCTGGACTCGAGAGGAAGAAGAATAACATCCATCTATTGTTTCTTATTATTATTATTCCAAGGACTGGACTAAAAATGGGTGGCAACAGGTCTTATTGAGGGAGTGTTGGATCATCTTGACAGAGTGGAACAAAAAGGCGGCCAGCATCCAAAAAGATACTGAAAGAGGAACTATTCTCTAAGACATCTTAAAGAAATTACAAGAAAGCTTTTGTTTTAGAGCATCCGAAATACAGGTGGCGTCAAATACTGACTTTCTGTCAGTCTGTGTCTGTTTCAGTGCACCTATTCTTTTCCTAATGGTCGTTTTGCTCTTCAATCACTTCCTAATAAACTAAAATGGCTGTGTGGGATGATTTTAAATGTCCCGTTTGGTCTTTTTTAACTACTGTTTGCACTGTTTGAACTGAATATTTTGTAAAAATCTACTGGATTATTTCATATTCAGTCCTCCATGTTGATTATTGGATGTAGAGATGACTATATACGGGGTCTTCAGCCCCCCGTGTGTGGTATTTAATGGTTCCATCTTTTGGAGACTATAAAGAGTGTGAGCTCTTTTGACCTTACAGCCCACTCGGGCAAACATAGGATGTGTGTGTGTGTGGGGGGGGGGGGGGGAAACTGGCGATTTAGCCCGGCCGTTGGGTTCCTGGTTGCTGAACTGTGGAAGGTGTGGATGTTTATGCAGACATTTTCATTATTAACGACTCGCCTGCAGCAAGAGGCGTCGGATTGGGCGAGGATAAATATGTATGGCTCACGGTGGATTCATAATTCATCCGAGCTGAAGAACACATTTTTTCTAGACCCCCCCCACCCCCCATAGCCAACCTCTTCCCCCAGGAGTAGTCTGGAGTTTCACCAGAAACACACACACTCGTGGCCCAATTCACACCCGATACATGTAGCGTTTTGTCCTAATAACACACACACGCACACACACACACATTTCTTAAGCCGTGCGGGGGGTCAGTCATCGTCCGATCTTCTCCTGATGTCCTCCTAAAGGCCTCAGAGGGGGCCAACACTCCACATGAGAGCAGGAAGGAGTTAAAAATCTCGCAGCAGCTTTGATTAATTCGGTGACAGGTTAGTTATTCATCTAATTAATGAACCGATAGCAGATTTATTTTTTTCTCCCCTTCAAACAATTTTTTGGTTTAATTAGCACCAAATTAATCTGGGCTAATTAACTGCTGAAATAACCAGCAGCCCTTCCAGTTTTTTCTTTTTTTTTTTCCCCCTCCGCCAATTTGGTTTCCATTTACTTTTTATTGCTCGGCGACCTATGGCGCTCTTGATGAAGGGATTTCATTTCGGCGCTTTGAACGAGAAACAATATCACGGCGGGTTTTTAAATATGGAGGCAATATTGGACTCGGCGGTAGGACGCACGTGCACAGGCTCTGATGATCTGAAACCTGATCACGGGCAGAGCGTTAACGTTTCTGTGTGTGTGTGTGTGTGTGTGTGTGATGCCAGGACGTGCAGATAGAAAAAGAGAAGGGGGCCTACAACATCTCCGGGGGCTGCACCGCTCTGATGGTCATGTGTTTACAAGGGAAGCTCTACGTCGGGAACGCAGGGGACAGCAGGTGCCACTCACACACTCCACACACACACACACACACACACACACACACAGAGTGTGTCACACGTGTGTGTAACACCCCCCTTCCTACCCCTTTTACTTTTTTTTTCCCATCCCCAAACCGTAAATAAACGGCCGTTTTCTCTGCTCGTCTCTCTCTCAGAGCTATCATCATCCGGGCAGGAGAAGTCATCCCCATGTCGTCGGAGTTCACGCCTGAGTCAGAAAGACAGCGACTGCAGTTCTTGGTAAGAAGGAACCTTTGTGGCGAGCACAGCTGTCAGATATTAGCCGGGCTGACCTCACCTCCTGTGGAGACACCATCTCGGCGTCTCTTCTTGCCGGCTTAATAGACTCCGGAATTGTTTTTTCCTATCCCTCGGGCACGTCAGTCTTCGTCTCTTACCATTCTTTCGTGTCTCTCTCTCTCTCATTGTATCAAAGGCGTACATGCAGCCCCACTTATTAGGGAACGAGTTCACGCATCTGGAGTTCCCGAGGAGAGTGCAGAGGAAGGAGGTGGGGAAGAGGATGCTGTACCGGGACTTCACCATGTCAGGATGGTGGGTAAAGTCATAACCACGCACTCGTTTCTGTTTAAACTTTGTTTCTGATCAGATTACTCTGTTACAGTGGGGGAAATAAGTATTTGACCCCTTGCTGATTTTGCAGGTTTGCCCACTTACAAAGAATGCTTCTTTTTCCTCATCAGATGGTTATCCATTTTTATAAATTCATATGATGTGATTTTCTGGAATTTTCTTTGGGATTCTGTCTTTGACTGTTATAATGTACATATGATTAAAGTTATGGATTGTTGCATTCTTTGTAAGTGGGCAAACCTGCAAAATCGGCAAGGGGTCAAATACTTATTTCCCCCACTGTAAATGCAGTCCCCACCTGTAAGGACATCAGTTTTTTTGTTCTCACATTTTTTGCTCCTCCATGTTATTCGTTTTAATATCATGCTCTGGTTATGAAACCAGCCTGTTATGGCCAATGACTGTGTGCTGGAGAAAGGGGGGGTAGAAAAAAAAGAACTATTCAAAGTCAGAGTGTTAGAGTAAAGCCAGAAGATTCTGTCCTTGGAAATTCTTCTTCTGCGTGAGTTACGTGAGTTACGCAGAAGAAGAAGACTGCCGGTGATGTAGACGGAATAAAAAAACAAAAAAAACACTGCACGGATGGAAAACAAACGGCGACGTGAGGGCCAGGAGAAGATGACAGAGTAGAATTACAGGCCGACAGATGATGGGTGGACGGGATCTTTTCGGACACCTCCTCCTAACTCGGCTCGGGCCCGGCAGATGTAGGTCAGCCAGCGGGCCCGGAGACTCTCCGCAGACAGCCTGTGATGTATTTTTAATCGGGCTCTTCCCACAACCCAGTTCTGCCGCAGCTTCAGCCAGACTCTGTCTGGGCCTCAGACGAACTCCCCGTCGCCCCGCGCAATTCTGTCAGCGTTCAGCCTGATCCAGAAGTCAGGTGGAGGGAGGAGGGAGGGCGGGGTCGGATGGAAAGTGGGCAGGGGGAGAACAAGAAGAGGGTAAGAAGTTTGAGGGACGTCACAAAATCAAAACGATACGAAGAAAAGACAGTCAACAGTAAAACTCCAACAAGATGGTGGGATGTGACGACTCTGATATAAAATGAACGTTTGGTCACAAAAGTGACGCGTTTCGGTCTCTAGTGCAATTTGGCCGAGGCACAAAAAAAACCCAAAAAACTTGTTCGCTCTGACACATCGGTGCAGATGGCACCTCCGCCCACTCGGAAACCTTCGAAAAGGTTTGTGAACCGTGAAAGCGGAGCTTACTCCGACGTCCTCCGAATACTGCCCAGCCAAGATGAGACAAACAGAAGCTGCACACATCTGCATGTAGCACAAAAAAACAAACATCTGAACTCTTCAAATGCAATTACAAATGTCTACCTAAGAAATGATGGCAATAATAAAACAGTAGCACTTTTTTTCCTAGTTTTTCAAAAATCGTAGCTAGCCATAATAAAGAGAAATGTTCTCTGACCTCCATAGATATTGAACTCAATCTGACCAGAGGGCTTCTTTTAAAGTTTCCGAAACTTTCTTTTGCTCTGAGGACCCAGAATGTGGATGGATGAGGATACAGTGAGAGATTCCAGCTTAAAGTGTGCGGAACAAAAGGTCCTGTGGGAGGTCCAATCCCGACTTTTCCCAATCCCTATAAACTGGCTCCGTATACGTCTGCTTTGGGGCTTTATCCCACTATAAGGAAAAGTTGTAGTCATTAACGATAAGGGAGCATGCTTTTTAGAATGAAAAATGTCAAAAATCCTTACAGGTCGATTCACTTTTTCACACAAATCTAAGCGAGTGAGAAAAGAAAGATTCCCATGGGAGATGGTTTTCCACCATGCTTGGCCGGAAGGTGGTTCTTGGAGAACTTTCTAATGTTCTTCTGTGAACGCGGCCTTTCTTCTGCGCTTCTGTCACTCTGTGTAATCCCAGACAAACTCTGATTCTGAGATCAGAGCTCTGTGGGTTGCCGTACCATCTGCCGCAGAAGTCCTGGCTTTCCTTGTAGCTGGAGATAGTAATGGACGACTCTAGGGTCTTCATCATGCTGCAGAATTAATTTGGGACCGATTATGCATCTCCCTAGTGGGATTGTGTGGTAAAGTACTTTTCTTGCCCTGCTATATTTCTGTGTAACAGAAAAAAATAATATATATATATATATATTTTCTTATGCTTGTGTCGGTCCACTTTGAGGACATTTTTGTGACTCATGGCTAAAGTTTGCTTTTGGAATAGAGGCTGGGTCATTGCCATTTACTCTGCCCCCGACTTGATCCTGAAAGCATGAAAAAGGCCATCGAGGTTGGCCAAAACGTTTTATCCGAACAAACTTTCAGTTTGGTCAATTTGTCCGACTCATACAAGTGAGTAAATTTCCCATCATTACAGTGTGGTTTGAGCCTGCGTTTTTTTTCCCGCGCCGCCGAGAAGGAAACGTTTCTGGGGGACAGTTTTTTTCTTTCTTTCTTATTTCTGATAGTGCTCCCTGCTCCGAGGAGGCTCAGCCTGCGGACTGCATTTCCGTGTTTGCGGGGTTGTGTTTGCTGTGATAGTCCTCGCTCCGCACAGTTCCCAAAAAACTGCTGAGAGCAGCAGTGTGGAGCTCGCCCGAGGTGGAAACATATGGTCTCTCTGAGTGGAACCAGCAGTAATGTAAAAACCATCCTGTTCTTCGCTGATCTGAAATGCACAGGTGTGTGCACATGTGTGTGTGTGTGTGTGTGTGTTTTGACTGTGTGTCGGTAGGGAGGCAGGCCGCGTCGTATGATATTTGCAAATAACAAATTTGTTTCCACCACTTCCAACCATTTTTAGGATGGTTATGAACAGCTCCTTTCTTGGAATCCTGCGGCCTGAGCTTTAAATCTCAGCCGATCAAAGCGGAGCCCCCGTCACAGCCAGGTTTGCCTCCCGTGGCACCTGGTGTGAGACGTGAATGGAAAACTTTGTCCTGGCAGCTCTCTTGGAAAATTGCCTCTAATACGTAACGTTTCTGCTACAGTACGGTTGCACAGCTGCTCCTCTGATGTCCAAATGTTGATGGATGAAAGGCTCTTTTTCTAACCGCGGTCAGGTGAAAATGAAACTGCACTCTTTCTTCTCCGAGGTTTTATATAGTATATCAGTACATGACAATGAATAGCAAGGTTTATTTGATCCTGCTGAAAAACACATGATGCTTTTTTTTTTTTAAACTTTTCTTTTTTTTCTTTTTTTTACAAAAACTAAGCCAAAAATAATCCAAATACAATGAGTCCACCCTCACAGAGGTGTGGCATTTTGCTATTCAGGAGCAATCAGGTATTTTACTACAGTGCAATGGAGCGAAGACATCGGCAACGATCTTTGAGAAGTAATAGGAAGGGTCAAAAGGCCATTTAATTACAATTTGGAGTCCATCATACTACAGAGAAAATCATTATTTACTAGTGGAAAGCATTCAAGACAGCTGTCCGCTCACTCTCTGTGAGTGGACATCCCAGCAACTTCACCCTGAGGTCACAATAAATTCTGAGAAAAAACAAAACAAAAACAAGGGTTACATCTCAGACTCTACAGGCATCAGCGAGCACTTTTAACTAAGCTCTCTGACAGTACGATTAGAATGGCGACCCCAAACAAGCCATTAGGAGAATCAAGGGGCTCCAATTGTCCGGTCAATGTCCAATTTAAATTCTGTGTAAACTGATGCCTATGTCCTCATTTAGATTAATGTACATTTTCAAGAAGAGTGGACCCAAACTCCAGTATGACACAAAAGTGGCATATATAGTAGATGGTTGAAAATGACACAGCAGTAACCTCATACAGGAAACAATGACTTCCGGTTATTGCTGTTTAAAGCTTTTGGCAAATGGGGCAGAGGTACTTCATCACAAACCACTTCTGTTTTTAATGTCATCTTTGATAAGTGACACAATGTGGTGTGCACAGAAGTGCAAACATAGCCCCCCCCCCCCCCCCT